CAATCAACAATTTTTTTTACAAATATACACCACCATAGAAAATTCGTGACGTAGTCAATTTAACGAGATATGTCGCTGTGAAATGGTCACGACACAATGATTCCACGACGCGATGGTTATCGAGCCAATTGTCAGAATACTTTCCGTTCCAACATCATCGGCCATGGTAATGAGTCAACTTACGACGATGATGTCGTTGAAGAGGAAGATCTCTCGCTGGTGAAGCCCCGGCTTCTCCTTCTTGTTCGGGTCGGGGACCTCGTACAGGCGGCAGTAGCACACCAGCCTCCGATGAGGCGCGGCCAGTTTCTATGGTAACGGACGGGTAACGAGAGGTTGTCGTTAGCTTTGTGTTCATTAGCGGTTTGTTTGGGGGAAATTCTGGGAAAATTTCTCCGCGCCATTACGAGAGTGGGGGTAGGAAATGAAGTCTCGCTCAGGGGACGTAACGCCTGCCAAATCATTTTACAAATTACTATCAAACTCGCCTGCAAACAATGGGAGCGCCATTAGTAACAGAGCACACGCATGAATTAATTTCGAAAAAACCAAACCTATCCCGTTCGAATAACATGCACACCAATTAGAAACAACACGTCTAACTTACTCTCAAAACATATACGATGAAGCAATATATATTTTATATATTTATATACATTACGAGGAATCATCACACCAACGTTACTAAAACATATTACGGTCAGTACTAGAAGCATGAAACTCACCAACACTTGAAACTTCAATAACGATAACGCATTAAAGCACGCTGACCACATTCATGAACCTTTTAGTAGTTTTTCATAACTTTTGATTGTATTTTTCTCCCCGGGGGGAGTGGGCCGATTCTGGAGGTACTGCAATACCAGACCAACCCGTGGAGGTGGGAGTGCAAGCACTGACCTCACCTCCCAATGCCAAAAATCAGTTTAATATTCTGGTCCCCGGTAGGGGACGTATCAGATATTAAGCTGATAAGAACAGATACTACACTTTGATCTTAGCCAAAAGGCCGAGAAGCGATGCCTATTAGGGCTTCTCTAACACCTTATTAGGAACTGGCCGCACAAACAATTTCTGGTGTGTAATAAATCATTTTCTGGTTGCGGCACAATTTAACGACAAAATATGTATCGCACGCTTCATTATCATTTGATTTTCGTGCATGTTTATATTTACACGCGCTAATGTTCTAATTAGGTTGATGAATAATTTATTTCCTGCATTATAAAACGAAATGACACGAGATATCGACAATTCGCTAACAGCCACCTGCGCGATGACTCATACTGAAGCTCACAATCGATAAAGTTACCCGCGGCGTTAGCATCGTTTTCGCCCGAGAGAGGGCAGCACATGGCGTATTCGCTACTGTACGAGCGGAATCAATGAAAAGCGACAACCGCCGCTGATATGTGCGTATCCAGCGTTAACGAACGTTTCCGCTGGGAGGAGGGGGAGAAAACTGCCATCCCTGGGAAAGCCCGTGCTCTGGTGGGGGGTGTAGATAGGGCGCATTAGAGACAGGGTGGGACGAATTGAGATGAGACAGACTCGAGATGACTCTTCTCTCCCCTCCCCTCTCCCCTCCATCCACTCTTTCCTCTCCTGCCGTCCCACCTCTATTTCCTCTTCCTCCCCCTTTCCCCTCTCTCCTCTTCCTCCCCCTCTCCCACCTCGCCCCCTCTCTCGCCGACACGCAGCGCCACCTACCGGTTTCTTTGACCCGACGATCGTCTGCTCGACCTTGAGCACCTGTGACGTGTGGTCGGCCGACGTCCTCTCCTCTCCCCTCTCCCTCTCCCC